AAAAGAACTCGCTTGGAACTTACTAAACAGGCTAAACAGGCGAATAGTAGTAGCTTTTCGACATATTTTATAATTTCAGTAACTGATGCAAATCTGCTGACTCATGCTGAAATGTAAACATGCCCTAATTAATTATTCATGAATAATCCAAAAACGTAGAGAACGTTCGAGAAAGTCACGCAACGCATGAAAGCAATTTTACTAAGTAACATTCAACAAAGACAAAATTTCTTTGTGCAGCATTTTGTAACTTTAAATTCATCATAAAACAGTTCGAAAGGAGGGCTCACTCGTGAAATGTTTTTCAACACTCGAAGAGAAATTTCGTGTCTCTGCGCGGCCACGAAATATCCTTTATTTATTCCTCGAGTAATTAAAGACTAAACTCGAAGTGATCTCAAGATATCACGAAGTAGTCCGGTCTCATTTCGTGAAATAGTTGAAACAAGCCAAAAAGTCACGAACTTGTACGCCCAATCTTGTCCCGAAACTAGTACATCATTTCATAACTATTTTTCATATCCCAAACTACCTTGGGTCGCAGTAGCACTATCGGCTAATCCCTCAACTTAGAGTCTCCTCTGATCTGACGGGTCACAAAGGTGAGTCGGTTCAAACCCCGGAAAAGCCAAGATAATAATTCTTTCTTCCTCTAAAAGGTTAAAGAATAAATCAAAGAAATCGAAGTGATCTCGAGATATCTCGAACTAATTCGGCTCTCACTTCGTCAAATAGCCGAATAGAACCGAAAACCTAAAGACTTTGCTTGCCCAATCTTGTCAAAAAATTGCAACTTTGATACATTCCTGAGCGTCGCGAATCCTTTACTTCGCGCTCCGCCGAAGTAATAAGGTAGAACAGAATCACATTTTGTAGCAGAGAGTCTACAAGTCTTTTAGAGTTCAGTTTAAAAATTTTTTTTGGACAGGTTAAAAAAAGAGTAAACTAGAAAGGATCCAGATATTTTTTACCTCTTCCATATGATGGAATCTGTTGAGGTGGAGGAGCTGCAGCAGATTGTTGGCCATAGTCTGGTCCTGGCCCTCCATATGTGGGCCCACCACGTCCATACATTTGACCACGGCCAGCTAAAAACAAAACAAAAAAGATCTCATTTTACTGCAGTAAATATTCTCTTCAAAGTTTGTCTAGTACATGTATTTCTACATGTTGAGTAAGGTAAAATCAGCCAAATGATACAATGCAAAAGATTGCAGTGTGGGTATTGTGTACTGTTATAACAACCACCAACCAACAACAGTTTTTGCAACACTAAGAAACACCCTGTTTTCCATATTTAACAACAGCAAAGCCCTTTCCCCCTGAACATCAAATTATATATGTTACAGGTCAGAAAGAAATTCAGGCTAACACTTTTTAACCTAGGTTGATTCTCAATTTTGTTTGTCTCCTAGCCCTAATTATTCATGAATTAGGGCTAGAAGACAAAGAAAGTTGAGAATCAACTTAGCTTAAAAAATTTTAATCGAATGTAATTTTGACCTGTAACATATACATCATAACACAGTGCTGTTCTGTGGAACAAACACTACAATGTACCGTGTAATACTCAACATCAATATTTTGAGATTACTGTAACTTTCCATCTCAAAATCATAACCTGGAACTCACTAAAAGGCAGACGGCAGATCCATTTTTTACCCTTTTGATAGTTGGCTATAGGAAGTTTTCTCACACTCTTCTCTAAGAAAATGAAGTCATCATCAAAACAAATGGCAACTACCGAGGGATTAACAGCTTGGAACCAATGACTACTGCACTTAACATTACCAGTAACTCTTGAAGAAGTTCACTGTAAACTAAAGCAGTTCCTGAACGAAAAAGTGTAATATACCTGGCGTTTGCTGATAATACTGCTGTTGTGGTTGGTATGACTGTGGTGGTCCTTGCTGTTGAGGATATGGCTGATAGGGCTGTGGACCTCTTGGCTGATATGGCATTTGTGGCCTTTGCTGATATGGCTGTTGATAGGGAGCCTGTTGTGGATACTGCTGTTGGTATGGTTGATGCTGACCATACTGCGTAGGTCCTTGCTGGGGAGGTCCTTGGTAAGACAGTTGCTGCTGTTGATAGGGTGGCCGTTGTTGATATTGCTGTTGATATGGTAGCCGCTGACCATACTGTGTGGGTCCTGGTTGTGGAGGTCCCTGCTGGGTTGTTTGACCATTCTGAAAGAAAAAAAAAAAGATTAATTCATGCAAATGATATTGTACTTCACAAAATATCAATACACTTGAATTTCATTTTCCTTCATTGGTACAAAGAGAATATCCATTTGTGTCTTACCCAAATGGATAAAATCCAGATTTTCAAGAGATTACAAACAGTGCTTCTTTCTACAGCTTGTTCTTACTATCCTAAAAGAATCTTTCCCTATTAAGTTTTACATTGTAGTATATAAAAACATTTTACTACATTATTAATTCAAAATAACATATGGTGCCTCCAAAGAGAAATAATAGTTACAAGTATAAATTTACTGCAAACTCATGAATTTCCACAAGAGAGTTTTACTTCACTGCAATATCAGTTTAACATGTATGATAATATCATACATGTAAAACTAGTATTGCCTATTACACTAAAAACCACTATTGACCACTCCAGAAAAAACCATAACATACCATAATGCTCTTTTTTTGTCACCCCAAAATTTTGCAAAGCATTGTTTTCAGTTTCTCTTGGGAGTTAAAATGGCCCCAAGAGAAACTTAAAACAATGCTTACGCAAAATTTTGGTGTGACAAACAAAGAGCATTATGATATGTTATGGTATTTTCTGGAGTGGTTAATTGCTATTTACTTACTTTTCCATTTTGACCTGCTTGGCCTGGAGGTCTTGCTGGCTGCTCTAAAGCCTACCGACGAAAATAATTCTTGTCAACAATTATATCATAGACTGCATGAAACTGCAAACTCATGTTGAGTCCACACTTGGGAGTTAACACATTTATCCCATTTCTTCCCATAAAGCATGCATACAATATTTCTTTGCAGCTGTCCTTTACAACATTAAAGATATTAATCTTTGCCACAGACGTTATTATCAATATGATGGTCTTGTCAGTCTAAATCACAAAGGCTTAATCGGCTGTTGAAGGCTGAAAACTTAAGTTGGGCTACGTTTTAGCCAATAATATATTTTGTGCTGTAAAAATTTACCATTTTAAAGCAACTCAATTTTAGTTATTTCAACCCTGGAATAATTTGCTTACATTATTTCCTTTTTTTGCTAAAGAAGCTACCAGTGAAATTTGGCCAGGGTGACTATTAGGTACTTTGGTTAATTTATTTAATCTTATAATCAAACTAAAGACTGACATTAATATATAAAGATAGAGAACCAGAGCTGATGAATGAGGCTGACTCTGCTTCTACCATTATCATTATTATATCCACTGTAGGTTTTTTGGGAACTGATCAGACTACAGTAGAATATAAAGTGGAAAAGCTCAAGTACAGTACAAGAAGTTTTAGGTCATGCAGCCGAGGATCGGAATCAAATCCGAAACTTCCACTTGGTATATAAACCATCCCAGATCAGTCGACACGAAGATTTACAGTCATGATTGGTTAATACAGTCTCTCATTCATTACTGAAGAATAATTAGGGGAGGGGAGGAGGGCATATTAACTTTCTTTCCCTGAAAGGGGGGGAGGGGCTTATTTGAGAAAGGGGGGCTTAATAGAGGATTTACCGTATTAAATAAACACTGTCCAATGATTTACCAAACCATTTCACTTGCAATATTAGTTTTATTTTTTGCCACAAAAAAAAATCTATGTGTGGATAACAACAGTCATCTTTTCACACATGAATATGACATGTTATTGTCACATGTGAAGATATCACTTTTTGGGGGTGAAAGCACACCTAGTATTTCATTTCACCCTTTTAAAACAACCATTCAGCTACTGGCCTACCATGGTGGTTAAGCAGGGCTTGGACAGTAAACAATTTCTGTGCATTCATACAACACAGACAAAACAAAAGTTAAAGAATGATCTTTTCCGGTTGGTAAACTTGAGCTCAAAATAAAATCTTCAATAATGGCACAGAATAAAGATGCTACTCAGAAACAACATGCAACAAGCTATTCATTTTAAAAAGAATAAAGGTTAATTAATCGAGATCTGACGTTCAAATGTGCAGCAACTGTTATCTTTGACGTCAGGAAATATAAAACCTGCTTTGCGCAAACACGAAATTTAGTCACGATTCCCGTCATCTTTCAGCTTCATAAATTAACTTGAACAGGCCCAAATATACAAAATTCGCTTTTAAACCTTATTTTATTGTTCTCCGGGCAAAGAGGCTTGAACAAACCACAGAGAGACGCCAAGTAACACAAGCGCGTGTTGCTCAATGCATGGATGATGAGATACAGTAAACAGCGAGTCGAGTCCGGATGAGCTAAGTTTTGCTCTGTTAACACGTGCCAGAAAATTTGCTTTCATGAGGAAAACTGGCAAAGATAATTTAGAGAATAATTAATGAGGTAGTAGCGAGGTACATTAACTGAAATGTTTTGTCCGATGCTTGTTTACAAAAGATATAACAAGGGACAAATGACAATGTTGAAGGGCTTCATTGTTTAGAAATTATTACTTCTTACCTGTAGAAGGGCAGCTCCTCGCCCTCCACGGCCAGCCATTCTGCACTAAATATACGTTAAAATCTTAAAATGTTCTGAAATCCTAAAATGACATTAAAATTAGGGGACACGGTTGAAGAAATACACGGTTCACGTCCTTGCCAAATGCTAACACAGCCGAGAAGAACTAACGAATGGCGCCAACAGACCATAATAAGAGAACAACTTTGGCCTAGCCAATCAAAAATAAGATTTCTTCAGCTGTGAAATACCGAATTGCTGTTCGGCTCAATCGATAATTGTTCGGTATAAAACGAGAACGTTCGTATAAAAACGAACGTGACAGACGACGTTAACCTGAAGGAAGGTTGTGAAAAAAGCTGCGATGGCTGGTGCGCGCGACAGTCCCAAACTCAATATGGAGCACGGCTTCATACAAACCATTATTAAAAACCAAGTTGATCGAGACGAGTATGACAAGGAGCAGAAAGCTATAAGTCTGCAGAAGAAGATAAGCGGGCAATCGCGACCAAAGAAGAGAGCGCCTTTACAGATGTATGTACCGCCTCATTTGAGGGCGAAAGCGGTCGACGTCAAAAACAAACAAGAAAGTGAATCTTCGTCTAAAGGTAAGAAACACATTTTTTGTTACATAAAAGAGCCTATGCGTGAGATTGATACTGATATGTACAGCTGTAGAACACTCAGGCTAGTTGTGAGCTCGGACTCCACGGAGCAGGACCGGAAAAATGCATGACAAGTTTTATAAGCTAATAGTATGGCGGGAAATATAGTGTTTCACCCGCTTCCTATCATCTTACATGATTACGGGCTCTATGAACGCAACGTTTGTTGAGTTCTCCTTGCTTATTGAAACTGTGGAATTTATAATGATTTTGATACGTCGATGTTTGTGTCAATGGATGGGTCGGTAAACAATAGAAAGGGTAAGACTGTCAAAGGTCTTGAAAATGCCATAAAAAATTAAGCCCCTTTTGCAGTCTCAGGAGACTAATGTAATGCTTGTTTCTGATTTGCTTAACCCATGGGTGGATCCAGAGTAGTTCAAGTGATTTGCACAAATCACTCGAATTTTTTCCAAATCTTATTTCTCAGCTCTTTATTGCTGTTGACGAAATCAATTATCCTCCTTGTTTTATTGTTTATTATGAAATTAATAAAACAACTGAGAGATTATTCTGTCGATCACACAGCAAACCCAGCCCCTCCCGAGCGAAGTGGACGAGTCACCGTTCGCGCGGTTTCGTCCTTTGTTGATCTTTTGAGAACCACGCGAAAAAAAATTCGCAGGCACGACCGGACAAAGTTTCTACCTAGAGGGTAGGGACTGGAGGCATGGATCTTTTAACAAATCACTCAAAACCCACTTCGATTGGTCAGAATCACTTGCATTGTCTTGCGAACTACTCAAACACGATTGTGATTGGCTATTCAGGTCGCAAACTACCATGCAAACTACTGACAATCATATATAAAGAGAAGCCTCTCCCTCAGAAGTCCCTTCCTTCTTGTTGAATTTGTAAAATCACTTCGCGAAGACAAGAATAATTTGATTTATAAACCATGCATGGTTCGAGGCAATCCAGTTTGTCGGAAGGAGGACTGTTCTCAGTATGATATTGGCTTGGTTTTCAAGGAAATCAGCTCATATTCGGACCAGGATAAGCTCAAGTTCATAGAGAATGCGTGGAAACCAGGTGAGCTATTTGATTTCCCATTGTCAGTGGAATGTTCGAATTCTAAGCGTCACTTTGTGTGGGGCTGGCTGAAAAGATTTCCCTGGCTAGCATACTCAAAATTTCTCGATAGTGCATTTTGTTTACCGTGTGTTTTGTTTGGAGTCCAGTGTGGGAGGAATTCGAATAAACTTGACAAATTGTGATACAGAAACCTTCAATGCACGAATTTCTATTCATGTCACCCACCAGGCGTCACGTAAGGCTTTATAAAAGGAGAAGCGTTAAGGCTTCTGAGAACAAATTCCTCTCAATTTACTTTTGAGGAAAACATGAGTAATTTCAAAACACGCCTGCAGAATAGAGATTACCCAGCTAGAATTGTAGAAAACACCTTTCAGAGATTAAATTCTCTGATAGAGAAATGTCGCTAGCGCAGAAAAACAAAACCGCACCTAAGAAAATACTGCCCTTTGTAACACAATACCATCCGTCTTTGCCTAACCTAAAGGACACACTTATGATAGAAAATCAACCGCAACTGAGAGAAATCTTTAAGGAGCCCCCATCTTCTCATACCGTAAGGGAAAATCCCTAAAGGACATCCTAGTTAAAGCTAAGCTATGAAGGCTTTATTATAATTTATTCTACCGCGAACTGCAGGAGTCGTGTAGGCTTGTAAACACTTTTATCATTGCTAATTCACTTGCTAGACCCCTTAGACACAGACAGGCAAAGTTAAGATCTAGACAAAAAAATGTTACCTTGTATAGTCAAACAAAGTAATGAATATTTGTACAGAATTATGCCTTTCTGGAGGAGGTACTGTTTATGTGTCTGAATGGCTTGAGGTGCTCTCAGAATGCAGGAAAATGGCAGTTTGAGAGCACTAAATTTCAGATTTTCTTGGGGGAGCATGCCCCCAAACCCCCTAGTTTAGTTGGTGCAAATCACTCATGTAAAATCCTGGATCCACCCCTGTAACCCATTCGCCCCTGAACCACCTGTAACCGCCCGTGCAGATCTAAGTCCTTTCTACCCTTTGACACCATCAGTTTTAACGGTCAAGGACAACTTTCTTCGCTTACTTGTGCAGAGTGAAGAGATCTTTCAAACCATACCAGAATGAGCACAATTCAGTCAAGGACACCGGAGAAAGAAGCAAAAAACCACGTGACATTGACCTGAAAATCTCCATGAAAATCTTGTTCCATTGCTCACCTACCTTTCCTTTCACCTAATCCTAAGATCCTAAAAGCTTTCCTAAAAACTCTTCCCACCAAAATGAAGCCTGCTAAATGCCCAGCAAGAGAAAAAAAAATGGGGCAAGAAAAGCGAAAAAAGAAGGGAGGAGAGAAAGCAAAAAGTTAAAGTCAAGACTGCTGTGTCACTTTTAAACCCCAAAAAATTTTGCTTTCTGCGCATGCCCGAACTATGCAAGCTGATATTTTGCATCTGGATCAGAAGGCCGCGAAGTGTAGGACCTGTAAACCGGTTTGTGGTAAGTTTTAGCTCTTTGTAGCACGACAGTGACCAGAAAACCACTGGACGACCTTCAAAACGCGTTTTTCGGCAAAATCTCCAGGAGCGAATGGGTTAATATTTTGGTTTATTTCTCATAACAAGCTATGCTGAGCAGTTGCAAATTTGATGATTCACGTCATTCATCACAAAAAATGGATTTGGCCAATACTACATCACTATTTCAATGTGATACTCAAAGCGTGGTAACAATAATATTTGAATAAGGCTGAGTATGCATGATGTGAAGAATCATGCAATTATAATGTGCAATGGACAGCCAACAAGAAGTGCAGGCTCAAATTACAGTGACTGTAACCACTTTATATCCAACGGGTTCAAGTGGAATAAGACCTTCTTTAAAACAATATGGGGGAAACATTTCATATTAAACCCACTGAATCCAGGGAATTTTTGCCGTTCTGAAGCTATTCGGTCCATCTTCTGTTCACTGTCTGGCTAGAGAGAGATAAACCTTACCACAAACCTGTTTGCAGGTCATATACTTTGCAGCCTTCTGACCCAGGTGCTGAATATATATCAGCTTGTGAAGTTCAAGCATGTACAGAAAGCAAGATTTTGAAATAGGTTTTGGGTGTCACAAAATTGTTTTGACTTTGACTTTTTCTTTTCTTATCAGTGATTTGGAAGTAGCTTATTAGTATCAACCACATTGTAACACTAGTGCATTGTAAAAAATCTCTCAACAGAAGACTGGGAAGATGATCTCAGAGCACCCAATACACCTGCGTCCCCTGAAATTAGGATGACTCTTGAATTTGAACGCCAAGATGGCGAGATTTGCAAGCTCAACATTTGTGAGGTAGCTTATGCAAATTGCCTTTTTAGGGTAGTTCATCATCATGCACTACCCCCTTTTTAAGTCCTATACATAATTATTTCTGATCTTTCAGAGCTGTGCTCTAGCAATTCCCACTAGCCCTTGCAACTTTTTCTTTGAGAGCACGAAAATTCAGGCTTTTGCCATAACATGTACGCTGAAACATTATTCAAATCCAAGGGAAATGGTACTAAAAAAATTCAGGTTAGCAGGGGTGTTTGAGTCATGTGAGTTTGATTTACGGAGGTTCTACTGCACATATACCTTACTGGTACTGATTTTTGCAGGTCTTAAATTTAGCGTTTTTTTGTGATTTTTAAAAAATCATGAAAATTAAAGACTCATGAATAAAAATTCTTGCAAATTTAAACACGTGAAATTCAATAACCATAAAGAAAATTCAAATCACAGAAAAAGTGATAAACGTGGAATAACGACAACATATACAGAAAGTGTATCAGCTGGTACACAAGGTCCATTTATAATGATATCCTCACCAACAGAAACCTTTTGAAAAATTTGTTGTCAAAGTTTCCTGGATATTATTTTATTGTAACTTGCTTAGGGTGTTTTTGGTTAAGTGATACACAATTTACTTAATGTTGTCTCCTTCAGGGAGAAGACCTCCGAAAAGTCATCAGCAGTTTCGGCAAGGCTAATGGTCTGGATACCAGACTCCGAGATGCTCTGCTGCAAAGAATTTCAAATGCTTTAGAAGGAAGAGCATCGTGATTCAGTTTGTATTTATTTTAGTATAGATATAAGGAATAGCAGGCAACAATCAAGTGGAAAACTTAGTCGCTGGGTTCAGATTTTTTCATTATTGCTGTAAATTGCCATAACAAGGATTCAAAATCTCTCTATAATATTATGGAAGCTTGAAAGCTCAGGAGGGCCAAAAAATATATGGCATTTACTTGTAAATCTTTATTTTGGAGTAAATTGTAGCCTCCGTAATGTTCATCTGTAATTTGTGAACAAAATGATTTATGCTCAGCTTTCAATAACAACAACTGCCACACCAACAGAAACAGACGTGCGGACAGTGTCTCTGCAATCCACACATCTTTTAGTAAATTTTCAAGTTTTAAACACCTGTATCTTGTTCAATATTGACCCATTTCACACCAAACTTGAGAATTTTCCAAACTTTAATGTACATTTTATGACTATGTGGTCTTGTGTTATTTATTTCTTTAATATACAGACTCATACCCAATTACCCTCCTCTGTTTGAAATTAGGCAATGGATTGATTTTTTTTATTAGGATGACAGATAAAGATCTTAAACATACAGTGGAAGCTCTCCTAACAAACACTCTCATAAAAAAGCTGATAGCTCTACCTATGGCACCTTCTCAAACCTCTGTATTTTACATGATTCCCCAGTAGTTGTTAGTGGCCAGCTCCAGTTATAAACACCATTTTTGCATTCCCAGATTGTCCACTCACTAGAGCGTCCACTGCAATTTGTTGATATTTCTTAAACTAAAAGTAGCCATTGTCTTCAATATGTACATGTTTCATTTCAAGGCAAAGAAAGTTATTATTATATTATTTATTTACAAAAATGTTTATGTAAAGGATCTGGATTTTTCATGAGATGGTTTATAAAAATTTAAAAGTATGATAAACAAGAAATTGTAATATTGTTATTACTTACCTCAGATACAAGATTGTAAAAGAAAGTAAATTTAGTGTTAATTGTAGTTATTTTTCATATATTTTTGTAATAAAGCAGAATGTTGGTGAAGTGCTGTTAGTTGGTTTTTGCTGACACTTAGGGGGGCTTGTAACCGGATTAGATATAGTGCTTTAAAACAAGCTGTAGCAGTGCTGATCCAAAAAGGGTTTTGCATTTTACTAGGTTTTAAAGCCTCATTTCAATACGAGCTCCAAGGGAGCTAAAAATCAGATGTATGTAAAACAGTCGGTTTTTTTTCTCAAAATCAGTAAAGAAATCGGTAAAGCGTGCCGCAAGAGTCTTACGCGCGCTTCGCGCGCGAGGCTCACACGCCCGTAGGGTTCCCCTTAGGGCGTGTCCCCAGGTCTCGCTCTCTGTTTTCAGCCTCGTTCCAGACCTTTTGTTTGACTGCTCGCGCGTACTTGAACACGCAAAAATACGGACTGTTTTGCAGTCTAGATGTATGTAGATATGCTTATAAGCCAGTAGATGGGTATAGCTTTGGTGGGGGGGGGGGGGGGGGGGGATTCTAGGGGGCGGCTTCGGGGAACCCAAAAATTTGGGGGGCCCGCGGGCGCTTTCATTTTTTTCTTTCACCCCCAAACTACAAAAAAAAACTCTCCCCCTTTTTTTAAAAACCCATGTTTATTTTACATCCAAAAAATCTCCCGCGGGCGGGTCTCGCGGGTGTGTGGCCCCCGGGCTTCTCTTGTTGTTTTCGCTCTCTGTCCTGTTCTTTTTTGTTCCGGCCCGCGTTCATTGGAAAACAAAAAAAAGGGGTGTTTTTGGGTTTGTTGGTGTTGGTAGTTTGGTTTAAAAAGGGGGGGGGGGTTTTGGGTGGGGGGGGGGGGGGGGGGGGGGGAGGAATTCTAAGGGGCAGCTTCAGGAGACCATCAAATTTGATGGGCTCCTGGCAGCTTACATTATTTCCTTTCACACCCAAAGTACCAAACAAACATCTCTCCCTTGTTTAAAAAACGCATTTGAGTTCTGACTGCCAAAAATATTACATTTCCTTGCTACAATAGAGAAAACGACAGTATTTCCACTTAACGGCTATGTTCAAGAACATCACAAGTCACTGTCTAGTCAAACAATGACGTATAATTTAATACAAAGAGAGGGGTTTTCTTTGAGGCTGGACCGGACCAAAAGTCATGAGATGCGGCGATGTCACATGAAATAACTTCTTTTTTTGAAGTGTAACTTACACTTCAAAAAATCGGATGATTTTGTATTGCTCTATCAAAGACAGAATTAAGCCTTATTTTGCTCGCTTTACTCATTCAGATCATCAGTGTTAAATGGTTTTGGTCCAGCGAACGCAGAAAGTGGCTTTTCAGCGTCCTCATTTGGGACCTTAAGATCCGACGACAGCGACGGCAACAAAAAGGCAGTGGGTTTTTTCTCCGCAAAACAACTCCGCACGTGCAGCACACATTTTTTGTACATTTCTCTGTCGTCACTGCACGACTGAAAAATCCGTGAAAATGCCTGATGTCACGTTTTATGGCGAACGTAAACAAGCCACGACCAAATTTTCTTTCACTTTCCGAACATGAATATGGTTCTTAGGAATTCAATTCCAGGAGAGTTCGCCTACAATTGACAAAGTAAGCGCGTTAGAATAAACGCGGTGAAGGCTGGAAGAACGCGAATTCACTTTTTAAGCAACGCTTTCGCTGCCGACGCCGTCCGTCTTCGGATCTTTAAGTCCCTATAGTTAAAAACTTCCCTGCGAGCATGCCCCGGACACCTTAAATTGAGGAATAGACCACACTCCCTATGGGTTTACTTGCGTGACAACCCACTGGGGATGTTGGGAGAACACTCGAAAAGCTTGTAATTCACGAGCCGAAGGCGAGTGCTTTACGAGCTTTTCGAGTGTTCTTCCAACATCCCAAAAGGGTTATCACGCCGGTAAACCCATAGAAAGTGTGGTCTATTGCTTTTATAAAATAACTTTAAGTAGAAGTATGAGTTTACCGGCACAATAAACCATAGGTTTTTAACCAATCAGAACGCGTGTACTATCTTAGTTATTTTATAAACAGTTCTATATAGGCTTTGTTACTACTTGTCTCGGGGGTACTCCCTATGATGTCCTAAACGGGAGGGCTCCACTCGAAGGAGTTTTCTTTCTCATGCTTCCGGAAATAGTCCAGCTTCGAGTTCCCTATGACCGCTGAATTAAAGAAGTGAAGACGCATTTTTTACAGGCTTAGCCTCCATCTAAAGTAATATATTCACAAATTCCAACGAGAAAAAGACCTGTTTACTTTGTCTATTGTGTATATTCAAATTTCAAACGCTTACTTGCCGGAATCTCTGAATATTTTACTTTACGTCGAGGCTAACCTTGTATAAATGTGCCATTAATGTTTGTATTCAGCGGTAGTTTTTAATTCGAAACTGGACTATTCACGATTTAAAGAAAATGAGAGGGTAGGAAAATCCATTTAAGAGCTGGGACTTTAATGAATATGATTCGAGGCTATGTCATCTGTTTAATTTATTAAACGTTACACACAAATGACAAGAGGACTTCCTGTTTAGCGATTTGTTCTTACTAAAAGTAGATGTATGTTACAGTGATACTATTTTTCTTATGGAAGTTATACGAAACGGGTGCCTTTTCTGTCAAGAGATAGGAAGTTGAACCTCCAGGCGGAGTCTCCGTGTATAAAACTTTGTTGAGTAGCCCCTCCTTCCCCCCGCTCCCCCCCCACCCCCGCGCCACATTTCCCTGTTTTCCCCCCCTGCCGCCTCCGACCTATCACGCGGTTTAATTCATCCCCATAAATTCTCACTCCGAACACATCACCTGAGTGCACAGTCGGACA